TATATAATCATTCTACCAATAAACTTGGTTAGAACATTGTCTTTTTCAACACGCACCTTCAAACTAACGCATGTCCTGTGCTAAGTGAAGTCAATCATACTTAATTTACATGATAAAGTATTTTCAGAATTTTATCTGGGTGATAGTGTGCTAATCTCCTGGAAAACACATTTAGAAATTACAAACCATGGGTTTTTTTGTTTACTCAGAAGAAGCCAAGAAAACAGGACATGGAAGATTTTAACTAACGTTATCAAGAACTCCTTTTAGTTTAAGCAGGTGACAGAAATTCAATAACAATTTTAATTCACTCTTGGAACGTCCATTGCATGTAAGTGGCATTCAGGAAGGATTGCTTGATGTCCAAACTGCAGTGGACAGCTAATTTTCGGTGTCTGTCTTCCTATTTCCTTACAGAAGAACAGTTTGATTAACCCCCTGGGGTGAAACTGAATACCATATTTTTCCAGTTGGAAAGGGACAATAGCAAGTCCAAAAATTACACCTTTCTGAACATTTTGTATCTTACGTTCTTAAGAATAACATCACTGAAGAGCTGAAGTATCCAAGTATGTTAACAGGTAGTTTACGACAACACCTCTGTATAGCTGTGTCCCTGTGTATCCAAATACTGAGTCACTTCCTTACTAGTTAAAAGTTTTGTTAAATACAAAGAAAGTGGCAGAATAGCCTGAAAAAATTTAAGACTCTTAGAATGCTCTGTTATTTTAACATTGAGGTATCAGATGCATTTATAAATCCGATTTTGAAAATCAATTGGAAAGAGTCTGTTCCAATGCTATGATGATGATTGAAAAGAGTGCCAGTACCAAAGGAGCTTCTGTGCAGACAAAGAATCAAAACTTTTATTTTTTGAAAAGTCAGTACCACAGAAGCATACTATCACTGTCAATATTATTCAGGAGAATTAGTCCATGTCAAAAATTAAGTTCGCGTTTTATAATTTTTTATTTGATCAAAGTATATTTATCAATATAAAGTATTAACAACCTTCATACGATTTTGCAGTGAAAACAACAGATTTAGTAACTCAAGTAATCTTTAATTTTTCTAGAAAAAATATGTATTTTCTATCTTTGTCCTCAGAGGTTTGCATTCTGTACTACTCCTGAAATACTTCCACTTGTCAATAATGTTACTGATTCTGATATAGTGTCCATATTCACTTATTTCTTAGAAAGAACATAACGTGAAAAGAAGGCATTTAACTGGGATAACAAAATTCTCTTTATTGTTTATTTCCATTTTGCATACATTCATCTTTTTACGTCTTTTACAGAGAATCTGAAATAATTATTTTACGACCTTCGACTGTTTTTCATTTCAGACGTATGCACAGCATTTCAACATAAACTTCAGATGTTAATTAAGACTGCTAAAACCAGAATACTTCAACTATTTCATAGGATGAATTAACTTACTTTGGAGGATGTAGAGTCACATTCCTGACAAATCCACCCATAGCCAGTCTGTTTAGGAGACTTTTTTAAGGGAGGGTCTAGACAGCCAAAATGGTAGCAAAGCCTGCATTCATCACACCTGTACAGAAAAAAAAACCAAACAAAAACAAACAAAAAAACCCATATAAATGGTACTTCTGTACTATTTTAGACCAAGCTACCCTGTGATTCTCAGCACAAGAATTCCTGATCCATTATCATGATACAGAAAATCCATTTTCTATAAGAGGTATTTTCAAACACAAACACGACATGCAGGTTCTGCCTAATTTGGAATATTCTGATGCAGACACTCATACTTCACCTTTGTCATCATCTTATAAATGACATTATTTAAGAGACTTGAAAATTAAAGAAAAAAATTTACAACCAGTTCATTTTCTTAGAGATTTAAATGTAATTCAATGTCATTTATTTTCAGAAGTTTGTGAGGTTTTTTAGACAGTGACAATACTGTATTTTCATAGTTTTAAGACACCATTTTACACATTCGGTTTTTCAAGCTAAACTCTGAAATGTTTTCTCACATATCTAACAATTCAAATATAATTTACAGCTACGAATTGTATTATTTACATTAGGACTATGTGGTTGAAAAATACGCAAAATGTTTTCTGATTAACTTTGAATTTTCTGGAAAGAGGCATTAATTTAAAAGGATTTCAGTGGGATCTTTCACTTATAAAACCGCCCTATGTACACAGAAAAAATTAATGTTCTTTTAAAATAAACCTTTCATAAGTGTTTTGTACTATGTATGGTCCACATAAAAATCTCAAAACATAGCACGGCTATTGTTCACCCATTCTCAATGTACCAGCATTGAAGAAATGCTACAGTAGAACAAGTGCTTCATGAAAGGGGTTTTTAAACCAGTACAATAATATGCTCAAAACGAGAGATTTTTAAAAGCAAATAATAGACAATTTTATATACCCTACTGAGCTTCACTTTATTGGCATATCCCCCTGCATTCTTTTGTATGAAAAAGAAAGCTTTTAGTAAATTTACTTTGCAATATTATCTTCATTAAATGCCCTTAAATATTGAATTAAAGCAAATATAAATGATCCAAAAATAGGAAAGAGAGTAAATGTTTAAAAATAAAATTTTCTTTTAAATCCTCTACACCTTATTTCTCTACTTCACTGCCCACACATTTTCTCTCTACAAAACACGCAAACACAAAAATCTCCAAAAATTGCAACAATAGCATGGCACAGGCTTCATCAGATCAAAGACCGAGGGATACAATTTATCAGCAGAACACACAGTGCATCACAGGCAGAGGATTCAGATACAGAACATCCTTCTGTATTTACAGAAGAAAATGTTCATGTGACTTTTCTCCAACGATTAGTCTCCAAATAAAAAGAATTAACCATTTTCTGATAATGATTGTTTCACTGAAGTAAATACTTTTATCCTTGCTGTCAAGGCTGTGCTTGCTAGGGAAGCCTCCTGGTTTTAGCAGGTTGACATGAGGAAGTGGTACGGGTATCGCACGTACTGTCTTCTGCAAAGTAGAAATTAAAAGCAGTAACCTATGTATCAACAGTGTACAATGCTGGACTGACATGGTTTTGGTATTCTTAAAAAATGGGATATGCCATATTACAATCTATGCCCTTAGGATTGTTTAGGAATAACTCAATATAATTCCAGGACCAAAAAAACCCCCACAAACACTTAAAGGAGAAAACCATTCTCAGTTTTTAAATACACATGAGTTCTAATGTAGAAATGTGTTACTTACAATTAGGAATAATGCAGTTTTATTTCTCGTGAAAGGCATATTAAAATAATAAAAAGGTTGAGAGTGGGAAATGAGACTTTTTTTTCAGCAAAAGATTAAGCCTCCTTTGAGCCTCAACATTCGCATCTGCAAAGGAATATATTTTTACTAACCTATTTCTATATCTAGAATCTTATTCAGGTAAGTGCTTGCATTTTAGCAGTACTTATCAGAACTCCTTTCTTGTAAAATGTTCGGCATCCTCTAAGTAACACAAAAAAAGCATCACTATTTTTGACTGATTTAGTGTATTTTAAGAGCTTAATCCTAAAACTTACACCAGACTTCAAACAGTATTAATTTAGATTTTTTCTGAAGTGATTGTCTAAAACCACAAGTGTTTATACATTCAAAAGAAAATGTTTCCTCTTTATAGTTAAGCTCTGCCACCTCTTCTTACACCTTTTACATTTTGTATCTAGAATGTGGCATTTTCCAACTGCCCCTTCAGCCATGTTTCAGATGTACACTGAGGGAGTTAGCAAGGCTGGGTTGAAATAACCAGAACATCATGAAATTAAATACAGATCTGGAGGCACCATTCTAAAGCTGAATGTTTTTAATATTTATTGTCATTAATTTTTATCACTTCAAAGCTGTTTAGTTTGGCAGAAGAAAAACTGCATTTCTCTAGAATGAGTTAAAAATATCTATATGAAAGTTTTCAGATACTAACAGCTTCTACCTGCATCTGCACAGCTGAGAAAATGCAAATAACAAAAGTGTATTTTCATGCATCAAAACATAAAAAGCTGCATGGTGATAAAAAAGAAACCACACCAAATATTCTTAAACACTTCTTTCTTACTGCTTTTTATTGGAACACAAATTCTGCATTGTGAAACACAAATTCACTGGTTCTGAATTTCCCAGGGCATGATGCTGGGAAAATGGATGCATACACACTGCACCTTGGTTACAATGACCTAGCTCTCTGGCAACATCTGCCGAGACTGACTTGGGACAAAATGTGAAGCTTACACACATCACAATATTGAAAACAAAACTGCCATTCCTATTTCCTAATTCTGAAAGAAAACCTTAGACCTAGGTTAAAATGGCACTAGTAAAATGAGACTAAGCCCTCAAGTGTATACTATAACTTGTGTTCTTTTGTCTAGCAACATAAAATTAGAAAAAAAACCTACTGCCTGATTCAGAAAATAAGAAAGTGACACAAAATAAGGAGTACTTTCAACTTAACTAGAAAATGAAATGTTTGGGTCACAAATGGTGTCATGCCGACAGTCTCACAGCCTTTCAGTAAATGCACTCACAGATCAATCACAATACGGACATTTACAGAGCAAAGGAGCCACACTGCTCTGTCATTTACAAATATCATCCACTTCCATCCTGAAGATGGCTTAACAGTACAACTTAAACTATTGTGCTAAGGGAGAAAAAAGGAAAAGATACCACTTCCTCTATTTTAAAAGTTCAGTTACAATTTTTACCCTTGTGGATTCAAGGTCACACCTTCAAAACAGTCCTTAAAGTAACCAATATTTTAGCTTGCTATTATTTGTGGATAACTTCTTTTGTGATTAAGTACATGATTTACAAATGCAATTAAATGCACAGCCATCTTCAGTGGCCTGGCTGGCAGTTGTATCAAAAACCTTGTGAAAATAAAAAGAGATCCGCAGAAAGCTAACCTACCCTCCTAAATTACCTCTAACTGACAGGTAATTGCTTACTATCAATGTTTTAACAAGCCTGAAATTACTTTATGCATCAAAATTAGAAATCTATGTGTTTCTCATTCCAGCAACTAATGAGGATAGATATATGCCCACGATATCCTGAGAAAATGGGATGTGAAGAAAAAAAGCAAATTCTGAAGGAATTTGGTTAATAAATTAAAAAATAATAAAAGAAAACACTTTTCACTTATCAAAGTATAGAATGCAGGTCAGCTACATCTTCACAGCAAGAAAGCTTGATAGGGCATTTCCATACCTGAAATACGTCTGCTCTGTTCTTTAACAAAGTGATCTCCATCTGCTCATGCCCTTGGATTGTTTTTATTAGTTTTTTAGCAGTACAGCTGGCTGTGCTCAAGCCCTACATAACTCTGCATTTTCCTGTTCATAATTAACTAATTATGCTCTAATCAATAGTGTAGATACTGATTTTACAATGTAAATGAGATAAATGAGATAATGGCTGGGGTCAATCTCATTTTATTTACAAAGCCCAGCACACACATCCAATTTCATTACATTGCATCTACCTGCACAGGAGGGAGTCTTATCAGTTGGCCTGCAGAAGTCTTCCTGTGAGCACTGAGGAAAAAGACCTGTGCTTTTACAGAGGAACAGTGAATGCAAAACCTGCCCATCACTGGCACATTTCTAAGTCACTGGTTAATATCATAGAAAACCACAAAGAGCTGATTCAGCCAGAGTGAAGAAACCTATTTTGCATTCACGAGACAGCATCACCCATCTATAGCTGTAAAAGTAATTACCTACATGTCCCTGAAACACAACATTAATAAGCTAATCTTTAAATACAACTCTCCAAATATGCTTCAGAGACTACAGAAAATCTCTCACTTATGCACACATCATCGCACATCGTCTGCCGTGTCATGCCAAAAAGTACCATGTTGAACAAAATACAAAATTGCAAAATACATATACTGCTCCCTATTCATCCCAACAGCTTAGAAAGATTTACTGTAATGGAAAAATGATATAAAACTTTTATACGCTATTGACAAACCATCATCACCATTAAAAGTTGTCATATAAGCCTTACTCTGGCAAACTCAGAAGTAATTAGAACAAAATTAGAAGTAAACTAATCCAGAGGATAATTTCAGTGGGATGGGTGTGTGTTCAGTCACCCATTGGATGGGGGAAGGCAACACGATGGCTATTCCAGCACCTGTATGGATTTAACTACTGACATGCAGTAGTTAACTTTCCTCGTTGGCTTCTTCTGGACTCCAATTCTGACTAAAGGCTCTTAACACTTGAGGAACAGATGCTTCTTCTCAGGCACTGCCATCTCTCCTCTGAAATCCCTCGGTGTCAAGTGCTGGGCCCTTCTGAAACTGCAAAGAGTTGGAGACATGCACAGGTGGGTTCACTGTAGATCGCGGCACATTCTTGGGTTCAGATGAACAACTTTAAACCAGCCATGAGAGTTTAGGATACTGTCACAATTTTGTTAGTGGCTGTATGTCAGACCCAATGGAAAGGAGCATGTACGGATTCCCAAAAGGACAGAATAAGCTGATGCAGCTCAAGTGAACTCTAATAGGGAAGCGATAA